AGGGAGAAACCCGCATGGCACAGCAGACCTCTCCTGTCTCACCCGCTGCTCCCCTCAGCAGTGTATTTCAGTCAATCTGCCTGTTCTGTTCCCCGCTCTGTCTCTGGTGGATCCTCTCACCCCCCATCCCCGCATTTCTGTCCTGTACCCCAGCTCTTGTATGCATAAATAAATCTTAAAGATTTATCCCGCGGTCCCTTCAATGAAGTTATTCTTTGCTCATGAGAGTGTTCTGAGGGCTGGGTGTGATGCAGAGAGTGAGATATCAAACTGAGTAACACTGTTTGGGGTGTTACCTATATGTAATGAAGCATTTTATCATGTGTATCAAGTAATCTGGAAACATTTCCAAGTGGGTTCTCACAAAAAAAATTGAGAGCAAAAGTACCCAGAGTAACTATTTTGGACAACAATGTTTATTCGGAAACAAATTCTAGCATATATTTTAACTACTTTTTTCTTTATCAGAAATTCAGTTGTTTTCACATTATTTACTTATAATTTCACAATTAAATGTAAAACTGATGCCTGAAAATAAACTTTGACAAAAGTGTTTTTAGATGATGAATGAAAGTAAAATGGAAATAAATTTCTCCCCAATTTTGATAGATATTTCAGGAGTGGAAGCATGGATTTTTAAACTGTTTATTCCATTGTACTGCTTTGAATATATTCACTATCATTTGAGAATGCTAGTTGCATATTAGAATGCTCACTCAGCATGTCAACTTGCTATGTCAATAGTGTCTTTTTAAAAAGCTTCCTTTTCAGTGACATTTTTAGTTCAGTTCAGAGACTTGTTAGATATCCAGTTGTTAGATGCTGTTTAAAGAAGGCCTGGTTTAATTATCCTAAGAAGCACACAATCACTTATCTAACCCACAGTGAAGCTTATTGTGAACATATTCAAATACATTTCAGAAACAATCAAATAACAAAAATTTTCAGATATCCACAATGTTCCTTCATTTGTAAAACAGCCCCATTATATGAAAAACTCAATTCTATCAAGAAAACAAGCAACAAATGTACTAGTTGAAGTATCTCCCAAGTTATAGAAAAACAAAATATACTTGTGTTTCCATGTGTAAAAGCAGAGTGCTGTTGATTCTCAAGTTGTTAGGTGAGGAAGAAAGTATTACAAACTCATGACTAACTCCTATGACTTACTAAACAGACCTTTCAATAATATCTGACCAGGTCTTTCAACATCATGAACTAAAATTAAGTCTTCTAAACAGCACTTATGGCTAATGGTCCTCACCCATAGTAATTTACCAATTTACCAAGTAACTAACCAAGGTTTTTACAAAGTCTTAACACTACTACTTAAAAAAATCAAGTTATAGAAACCATAAAATAATGACTGACTGTTGAAATGCAAATCTTTATGGCCAAATCCTAAGTCTGTTCCACATCACTATGGGGTTTAACTGTTTGTTTTTATAGCCCCAAAGTAAAGTATCAGCAGTAAAGTCTCTCTCTTCTGGTTATTTGCACTGCCATATGGTCAGTGAATCTAAACAAATGGATGAGGGGCTTTTAAGAAATGTTACACAAGGCTCAGATATCCACAATGAGGGGAAGTGCCATCAAGATAAAAAGGTATAAAAACCTTTTGTTGAGCTGTGACTTTCAAATCAAACATGGAAAAGTAAAATAAAAAAAAAAGAAATGATTAATTTCAGGAAAGAAGATTAAGAGGTGTTGTCAATGCAATAAATGTAGTTTACATATTTTAATGGTGTTAATAGAAAGTGATAAGACAAAAGTATGGACAAACCACTTTTATATAACATACATATATATTTATATATATATATAAATAAATTGGGAAAGAATCTAGAATAATTTAAACATTTAAACTGCTCAGTTGGGTGTTTTTAATAAAATTGTTTAATAAAAATGACCATGTAAGAAATATGAGAAATTTCACATTATAAATTGCACAGTATTCAGAAGGAAATAATTAAAAGATGATGCCCTTATCCTTCTGGAATTCTAAGTAAGATTTTCTTAATTCCAACTACACAGAAAATGAAGTGACATACAAAAAATTATATCAATTAAGTTCACTAATTCTGACATTCCTTTCAGAACAGAAAACTGCAATTGCCTCTTTGGGTGTAAATTAAAATGTACTTTATAATATAATATTTAACTATAACATATAACATTTGCTGCACGTGAGAGATCCCCATACTTGCTAATGTAGCCAATAACATGAGACCTTTAAAAAATAAGTCCCTTGACCCCATCTTCTAGAGATTCTGACTTGGAAAGTTTTGGGTGGATACCAGGAATAAGTATATATAATATAAAGCCCATGTTGGTGTATTATGGGAATTCCTCCTCGGATTTAGCTACCTCTTGGAACTGGTCCCTTATTTCAGTGTTTTTCATGTTCTACTGTGCATACAAATCACCTGCAGGTATTATTAAGACATAGATTTTGATTCAGTAGGTCTTGGGATAAGGTCCAAGAACCTATAGTTCCAGCATGTTCTCAGGTGATAACCATACTGCTGGTTTGAGTAGTAAGACCTTATGGTACTTTTCAATCTTTGCACAGATTAATGATATAAGAAATTTCCTTCAACAGTTCTGACACTAGAATGTTTTCTTCATGTTTTTACCTAAATATCCTTGAGCATAACTAGAGTACACAATATTTGAAAAATCATTACTATGTACCCTTCTACCAAGTGAATGGAAACTATTATCCCTATTTATATAATTTATCACTAAAAGATTAGTGTTACAGATGTCACAATGCAGAGATGAAGTTAAAATTTACATAATTTTCAATATATATACAAAGATGGTGATTACAACCACAGTTATAATAGTGAAATAATGGAGAAAAATTTAGATATCCAACAAAAGAGAAGTGATTAAATAACTTACAAGACAACCTTATGATGAAATACTAGGCTTCCAATAAAAATAATAAGGAAGGGGCCTCCCCAGTGGTGCAGCAGGATGAGTGAAGCTGTCTGTAGCCTCTGCAGTGCGGGTTCGATTCCCAGCTGGCCAGGGAGAAACCCACATGGTGCAGCAGACCTCTCCTGCCTCGCCCGCTGTTCCCCTCAGCAGTGTCTTCAATCCATCTGTTGTTCTGCTCCCCTCTCTGTCTCTGGTGAATTCTCTCACCCTCCCGCACCTCTGACCCGTACCCCAGTTCTTGTATAAATAAATAAAATCTTTAAAATAATATGATCTGTGTAGTAAGTGTATCTCTTTTTAAAAATAATAATAATAATAAGGGGGGACCACCCTAGTGGTGGAAGGGGTTAAGACGCAGCACTGTGAAGCTATCCACAGCCACTGCAGCATGAGTTTGATCCCCGGCCAGGGCGGTGACCCACATGGCGCAGCAGACCTCTCCTGCCTCGCACGCTGCTCCCCTCAGCAGTGTAATTCAGTCAGTCCACCTGTTCTGTCTCTGGTAAATCCTCTCACCCCCATCCCCCTGCACCTCTTGCCTGTACTCCAATTCTTATATGCATAAATAAATAAATCTTTAAAAAAATAAAATAAATAAAAATAATAAAGAAATGCACAATTACTGGTAATGAAAAGAAGTTCATGATAAGTTGAAGTTTTCGTAAAACAAAGTACAATTCCATTTCATGTGGGAAAAGAACATACAGTCATATATTAATATATACGTATAAAATATATACAAAAGTGTTTAAAGTGTCCTCAAAGTAGTAGAATTTCAGGTAATTTTGAAGTTTATTTGCTCTCACCATCTATTATTTCTACTATGGCATAGACCTTATACATTTTTTTACTTTTCACCTTAAAGGGTAATAAAAAGAGGGTGAAGACAAAACCTCACACAGGTACACACCATTAAAGAACTGCTAGAATGGCATGATAGGTGACTTGCATTCCAAACAGTCATCAAGGGACATCCTACATTCAGGATACTTTGAAAGCTGGTTATATTGTAGTCCTGCATCTTACTCCAGACTTACTGAATCTGACAGTAGGCTTTGGAATCTGCATATGAACTAAACATTGACTCTTACAGGCAGTGAAGTTTGGAAACCATGACATTCAACATAAAGCCTCCTAGAAATAAATGCAGGGATCAGGACTAAATTTCAGCCTATCTAGATGGCAATCTACAGTAAATTCAGAATGGGTTAAATCACAGTACATACATACACTCTCACATACAACAAAAGCCTGTAATCAGTGATGAGCTTTCTTCATTTTGAGCATCTCTGGTAAATATTGACCAATTCCCATGAACTGATTATGGTCACAAAGGTTTTCTGTACATTGGACCTACATCAGTCTGAAACTATTTGTCTTATAACCCCTTGTATGATACTCTATCCTCATTTAGTACTTCATTAGCTAAAGCACCACATATATAAGCATTTAATATGGAACCAATATCTAGTGATTAAATAATTGTTTCCATTTCTCCTTTCTAAATACATTTGATTGACTAACCTCAGTAGATTCTGGTGATTATTTCTTCCTGAGATCCTCTTCAAGGTAAACACAAAGGCATGAGTGAATTTATATTAACAGAAGTCCTCAAAAAATCAGAAAAACATTTCCTTTTCTAAAAAACCCGAACAAACATAAATCCCCCAAAAAATGTTGGGGGAAAAAAGGAGATATCACACTAAACGGATCTCTAACATACTCTTAAGTATAATAATTCATAAGGCATACATTTATAGAAGTTTTCAAAATGAGCTATTAAGACTTTTGGGACTTTAATGAGATTGATAAAGATCATTTCCCAAAGAAAGCCATGATAAGCATTTCCCCCCTTAAAACAGAGGGGAAAACAACAGGAGAAATAAAGGATGGTGGGGGCTCCCAAGAGTATCTAGGAAAGGAGCAAAAGATTCAGGGAGGTGGGAACAAGTCCTTCATTTTATTTTAATCCAAGATACATTTTAATCCTGGCTCACTCAGGTCAGGCCAGTTAAAACTGACATTTATTAAAACCAAGAAGATTATATACCCACCTGCAGCTCACACCAAGCAACCTCAACCCATGTTTCAGTGTCCAGTCCTTTATACACTGTTTTAAATGCTCCTCTTCCCAACTCTATGTCGAATTTCAGGAACCTGCCACTAGGAGAAGTAGCTACAGCCTTCATTTCTGCTTCTTCTTCCATTTCCTTTTCATTTTTCTCCTTGAAACAATCTTTTGAGGATTCTGAGGTTGGCTTTGAATACTGTTCATAATTAACTTCTTGTCCACCTCTTAGCACATTTGTAGAAAGCTTTTCTACCCTTGGAACATTTGTTGCCATCTTTATTCTCTCATTTTTGAGGGAAGATTCAGCAACTTTGTCATCTTCTGTCATCTCAACACTCTTTCGGAAGAATCGCTTCCTTTCTATATTTTCCCAAGAAGAGGTGATCCCCAGAGAAGTGATCTTCTCATTTAGTCTAGCTTCCACTATCAAAGTTGCAGCAACCTGAGGAACTCGGTTTTCCAATGAAACTCCATCAGGTTTCTCAGAATCTTCTGTGCTAGTTGGTTCCCCTGAATCAGTAGCCATTGTAATTAAGGTTGGTACTAAAATTTTTCCTATTCCACTCTTGAGTCCAGTTACATCTCAGGTATTAGAATTATCAGAATGGACTTCCCTTTATGTGGTCATATGTTTCCATAGTAACCTGAAGGGGGGGGGGAAAGTATATTTTAAAATCACCCCACAACGGAAATCATTAGGAGAAAACAAGTCATCTGATTGCTTAATCCCTTTTTCATAATAATTAGTTTGTTCTTTGTTCTGTCCAATCTTAGCAACCAGCAGACTCCAGAGACTATGTCTTATCTTGTTTACCACTGCAATCCTAGGTACCCAGCAGACTACTTGGCAATACGTAGTTCAACAAGTCTTCATATTGCATGAATGTTGGTTAGGAACCTAGTCCTTGGTCCCCATCTTTCCAAACCCTGGGTTTACTAAATGATAGCATGTACCCAAAATAAATGAAAACATGTCCACCCATGTTCATAGCAGCACTATTCTTAATGGCTGTAAGGTAGAAATAATCCAAATATATATCAACTGATGCATAAACAAAATAATGGAATATTATTTGGCAAAAAAATGTATGAAGCCAGAGGAAAGACTATATACTATATGGGTCATTTATATGAAAATGTCTACAAAATTCGAATCCAAAGAAACAGAAAATAGATTAATTGTTGCCTGAGGCTGGGGCACAGCAACAGGATTTACTGCAAATAGGCACAAAGCATTTTGGGGGAGGGGGTGATGGAAATGTTCTAAAATTAAAGTGCAATCAATGTTGCATAAGTTTACAAATTTACTAAAAAAAAAGATATTTATATTAGTAAATTTTATGGTATGTAACTTATATCTCAAAAAATATGATGTCCTTTTTTAAGAATCTTAAAACATTTTTACTAAAATCAAAAACATAATATCAAATGTGCCTCTAACTTCTACCCCCCATTTTGTCTATTCCCCTTATCTTTTATTTTTTACTGGAGATATTGTCTTTATTACTTATTAAATGATAGCATGTTCTTTTATTTTCTTGTTTTTTATTTTATATATATTTTACATCATTTTTCATTTTTGTACAATGCATGCATTTTTATCTTGGTTATAGTCCCCGTAAAATTCCCTTATCTTAAGCCTGGCCTCCTGGGTTAAGAATCACTGTTTTGAAGGAAAAAGACCTGACAATAAGATGTGATACCTTGTGACCTAAGGGTAAACAATGAATAAGAAAAAATATTTAAAAACTAGACAAAGAACTTTACTAAGCATAACATATAGTGGACCTGATAGCTTCTTGACCATAAAACAGTTTCAGAACATAGGCTTTGGAGTAGTCATAACAGAATCAATTCTTGATTCTGCCTCCACTCCTTAGAGGAGAGTTGGGACAAATGGCTTAACCTCATTCATTCTTGATTTTATTTGTGAAATCTCACAGGACTGATATGAAAATGTACATATACTTAGCATGGTGCTTGGCACAATGTAATAAACAGAAGCTTTTATATTCTACCTCTTGATACACCCTAGGGGCAGCACTATATTAAAGAACTGTTCAGGGGCGGGGAGAGGAAGGACTAGGGTCAAAATAAGCGGGGGGTGCAATTGTATGGGGAATATAACCAAAATGAAAATGCATACGTTGTGCAAAAATGAAAAATGATGTAAGAATTATATAAAATAAAAAAAAGCAGTGTTCAACAATACTCAAGAAAATATTGAATGATTTTCAGGAGACTCTATTTAGTAAGGCTGAAAAATATATAAGGCATTCTTTTAAAGTTTTCTAGTAACCAACCATGTTGGCAGTACTATAGGGAAGTATGCTTCAGTGACCAGGATAGTATCTCTTCTACATTCAGCAGTGCAGAAGCAGAGTTCAGTGAAACAGTCCACAAAAATTGGGTCTCAAACCTGGAGTCTCTTACTGAGGTCATAGCTATTATATAATAACCTGTGTGACGAGTTTTTCCTTCATATGATGGTAACACACTAATCAAAGTCCCAAGAATATGTAAAAAGCTAACTACAAAAGCATTTCTATAGAAATTGAAATTAGGGAAAATGTCAAAAATTTGTACTCCTACATCTATTCCTTCAATATGTTTGATATGTAAGCTTTGAGCATTTCAGATAAAAGTTCAAAGAAATTTTTCCCTTGTGGTTTATTATTCTATCCATCAGTACTTTGTCACTCAATGGGCTCAAGAAATTTTTCAACTTTTGGAAGCAGTAACTGAAAGAATGCATAATTGTCAAAATTACACAGTAAAATTTCCATTAACAACCCCCTCATATATGCATATTCATGCCCATAAACATTTACAAGGACCTCCCTGGTGGCACCGGAGTGAAAGTTCAGCGCTATCAAGCTATCACTGCAGCATGAGTTTGATCCCAGCCAGGGAGCTAACCCACAAGGCGCAGTAGACCTCTTCTGTCTCGCTTTCTGCTCCCCTTAGCAGTGTATTTCAATAGATGCACCTGCTCTGCTCCCCACTCTGTCTCTGGTGAATCCTCTCACCCCCTGCACCTTTGGCTTACACCCCATTTCTTATATGCATAAATAAATTTTAAAAATACTTCTTTAAAAAAAAAAGACATTTACCAAGTCCCTATATACCTAGCACTGTGTCAGGGACTTAGGATAAAACAACAAAAATTAATCCTGTCTTCAAGGAGTCTACAAGCTTAAGATACACTGCTGTTGACTTCTAGTTCAAGAAGGTAAACTGAACATTTATATCTCTTGTACTTTCTGGGATCCTGAAAAAGTGATACAAAGATACAACAGTATAAATCATAAGTCAAAGCCATGAATGGAAAATGTAAGATTTCAATAAGTTCTGACAGAGAACAGACAGAAAAGAAATGGCTTATCACACAAATCAAAGGGTACTAAAACCTAAAATGCATATTAGAATGGGTTCCAACCCAGGAGGGAACAGATCTCCAGGGAAAAAACCCAGATGAGCTCTACACACACACACACACACACACACACACACACACACACACACACACAACCTGATCCCAAAGACAGCCTGAGTGAGAAAAAGACTGAAACGGGATTTAATTTAAGGTTTGCATTATGACACAGATGATGAACTTTCCCCCTAAAAGAAAGAAATCTCTATATGGGAATATGAAATTTAAAAAAATAAAAAAAAAACAGGAAGAATTAGAGCATCCCAGAGTAAATCACTCAGCTTTCTGTCATTTGGATCCACCACATGAAATAGCCACCTGCTGAATTATTCACTCTAAAATAAAGCCTACCAGTTATCAACCCTGCTTAGGTCCACAAAACTCCCTGTCAGTCCTTCCATTAGCCCATTCTTAAACACAAATAGAATCAGGAGACAGCTATTTGAAGAAAATTTGCAACACAGAAGAGAAAAATCAAGAAAAAAATATATACATATACATAAATCAAGAAAAAAATATATGTAATGCTAACAAATATATACATGGAGCTGAAATAATTCAAGAAACCATTTTTAGTTTGCTTTTTTATTGTGGTAAAGTTGGTTTACATCATTATATTTGTTAATTTAATTCTAAAAATACAATACAATCATAAGATTCAAAAATCAAAGAAATGGTTTTATAATGGACAGGCTCACTCACAACCCTGTCTTCCATCTGTTTAGTTCACACCACTTGCCCAACAGGTAACCACTATTAGATATTTGTGTAGGCTTCATAGCTTCTTTAAGCAAAAAAGCTAACAACTCTAAGTTCGCTCTTCCTTTCTATAAAAAGTAGTACAATATATACCAAGCTTTTTTATAGTCATAATAATTTAAGATACTTTTCCCCTGTAAGTACACAGAAGTTTGTCATTCTTATTTTTTGATACCTATATAGTATTCAATAGCCATGACAGATAATAGTGTAATTTTCATTTTGCATATACATCTGCATGTACATGCATGTGTATATACACACCTATATACATAAGTTTTCTGGAACAGGATTTCTGGATCAAAGACAATTTGCCTATTTAACTTTTATTGAAGTATATTAACATATCCAGGAGAGTACATATAACACATGTGTATCTTTATGTAATGCTAACAAACTGCCTTCCATGGGCACTGTACCAATTTAAACTCTCACGTGCAATGTGTTAGAGTGTATTTTACCCACAGCCCTGACAAGAAAAAAGGTATTATCAAATGTTTTGATTTTTAAAACACTGATAGGTTTTAAAAAGGAATTTTAGTGTGGTTTCAATTAGCATTTATCTTATGAATAAGGTTAAGCATCTTTCAAATAGATAGTCAGGAATAAGCCAAGAATTCCTATTATTACTACTTAAGGAAATAAGACTCAAAACTAGCAGAATATATGATTATATATCTAGAAAATACAAGCAAATCAACTAAAAAAACTATGAGAGAAACTAAGAGAGTGCAGCAGAAGGGCCAAAGACACAATCAATAAACAGAAATCAATAGCCTTACTATACATCAGCAATAATTAGAAAATGTAATTAAAAAGACATCTAACCTAAAGTAAGGGCTCTGGGGGCAGGCAACACAAGGCAAGAAGATTTGGGTACCTTGGAATGAGAGTGGGTCACCACAATTTTTCAAATTACTTTTACAAAAGCAATTAATCTATTTTTTAAGAGCCACAAAGTTATAAAATGTTCACCTGGGAATAAACTCAAGAAAAAATATGCAATATCCATATAAAGAAATGTATAAAATTTTACTTAAGTACACACCTTTCCTTGGTAGAAAGACCCAATAGTAGCATCTTCACAAACTCCCCCTTCCCAGATTATTCCAAAGTCAATGCAAACCCAATCAAAATCCCAAAGAGATGTCTTTGTCCAGTATTGATGAGCTGATTCTAAAAGAGCACAAGGGAAGCCAAGAAAATCATGAAAAAAAAAATGAGAATTTGCTTTACCAAATATAACATAAAGTAAAAATGTGATTTCAGCACAGAAATAGACAAATGGACTAATGGAGTAGAAGAATCAGTACAGAGACACATGTATATATGGGAATGTAGTTCGTGGTAAAGATGGCATTTTAAATTTATGAGGCATCAATAGCCTAATAAATGATGTCAGAATAATGGGCTATCCAAGGGGGAGGGATTTAAAATCCTACTTAAAACCAGTCACTAAAATAAATTCTAGGCAGATTAAAGGCTGATGAAAGGCTTTATTAGAAAGACAAAAATGCAAAGATCATTAACAAAAAATCTAATACACTTGGTCATTTGACCATGATCAAGGCTAAAAGATAAGCAACAGACTAGGAACAAATATTTGCAACATCTACAGCAAAGTAACATGTATATCCAGAATACATAAAGAACTAAAGAAATCAGTAAGAATAAATACAAACATATGGTAGGAAGATGGCACAAATTCTCTAGTATTCAGAGACATGCAAATCAAACAATTCAATATCATTGTTTATTAGATGAAGGAAAAAATATGTTAGTATCATGTGTTAGAAGTATTAGAAATTTGACACTCCATCCACTTTGGCAAATAAACTGCAAAAGACTTTTCATATGCCAAAATCAAGTGTGTAGTTGTCACCCAGCAATCTCAGTTCTTAATACCTACCTGAGAAATATTTCTGTATGTGTACAAGAACGTATGTACAAGTATTTTTTACTGAAGCAGTCTGAAATAGCCAAAACCTGAAAAGAACTTAAATATTCATGTATAAAAGAATGGTGAAATAGTGGTATATCCATTCTGTGTAGTAATTGCATCTGTTTAAAAAAATGAGAAACATTTTTGAGGACTTGACCCCTATTGGCAAGGGAAATAAGAGCAAAAATAAACAATTTGGATTACCTCAAATTAGAAAGCTTTGTACACAGTGAAAGAAAATAAAATTAAAAAGACATTCTACTGAATGGGAGAAAATAGTCACACAATATATCAATATAACTGAAAAGGGATTAATATCCAAAATAAAAAAAATTACACAATTCAATAATAGAAAAATAAACAACCCAATCAACAAATGGGTAGCAGATCTGAGCAATTTGCTGAAGACAATATCCAAAGACCAAGAGATATGAAAAAATGTTCCTCATCGCTTCCAATAAGAGAGAAATGTGAATTAAAATCACGAGACACCGTCTCACACCAGTGAGAAAGGCACCCACACATATAAAACCTACAACAACTGCTGGAGAGGATACAGAAAAAGAGGAACTCTGTTACACAGTTGGTGGGAATGGGCAGTCATTATAGAAAAAGATCTTGGTTTACCTTAAAAAACTCTTAAGTGGAAATGCCATAAGATCTGGCAATCACACTCTTGGGCATCTATCCAAAGAACATGAAAGCATCAACACAAAAAACTATGTACTCCACTGTTTATTGCAGTACTATCCACAATAGCTAGGACACGAAAGTCATCTAAATGTCCATCAATATATGATTGGAGTTATGGACTATAAACATGAGGAAAGAAAAATGAAGGGTGTTTGAGGGGATTAGGTGTAGTAAAGTAAGTCAAGATGACAAAAACAAATACTGGACATTTACATAGCAGACAATTTGATGTAAAATACTTATAAAAACTAACAGGCATTAATAAACATGATTAGGGATTGAGGTTAGAAGGAAGTGGGGAAAGAAGAAAGACAAGAGTATACAAGAGATGGTTGCATTGAACTAAATAAGAGCTAAAAAATGAGAATTATATATACACGTATGTTTTATTAAGTGCAAAAAATATCCACATATCATTTATGTTAAAAAACCCCACAAAACTATATATCTCTAAATGTACTCACATATGTATAAACATATAAAAAAGACTGGAAGGATAAGCTCTAAACTGATCCTAGTAGTCAAAGTGGAGAAACATATAGCATGAAATATTATATAGAATCAAGATGACATATACATACTAACATGAAAAGAACCCTAAGTCATATTCTTTGGGAAAGCAGAAAGTCAAAAAATAAATATTATATTTTTAGTTTGTACATGTGTATAGACGTGCATATAAACAGAGAAAGCAGACTGTACAATCTCACAGTTAACTCTTTTTTTTTTAATTTTTATATTCCCCATACAATTGTAACCCCGATTTTGACCTCAATTCCTCCTTTCCCTCCCCCCAATCACAGTTAACTCTTAATAATAATGGTTACTCATTGGGAGGGCAGTAAATTGGGTAAATGGGTACCTTAAGGTGTTAATCAACCCTCTATTATTTTAATTCTTTAAAGTAAAATTGTTCATCAACAACCTGTAAAAAAAGAACCAGTTAAAGATATCATAATTTCTTAAAATAACTGGAGGGCAAAAAATTAAAGTAGACACCATATTAAAATGAATATTATGTGTCAACACTGAGTGTTTTGTGCCAAGCACTGTAAGCCCTTCTGTGCATTTTCTTCACAATCATCACAAGAATGTTGAGGTAAATAAATATTTTTACTTCCATTTTTTCAAATAAGGAAATGGCTCAAAAATATGTTAGGTTTCTCTGGTGGCACAAGGGGTTAAGCACTGCACTATGAAGCAATCTGCAGCCTCTGCAGCATGAGTTTGATCCCCAGGTGACCAGGGAGAAACCACGTGGCGCAGACCTCTCCTGTCTCGCCTGATGCTCCCCTCAGCAGTATGTTTCAGTCTGCCTGTTCGGTTCCCCACTCTGTCTCTGGTGAATCTCTCATCCCCCCACATCTCTGGCCTGTACCCCAGCTCTTATATGCATAAATAAATAAATCTTAAAAAAACACAAAAAAAACACACACACAAAAAAAATAAGTTAACTTGCCTAAGATCACACAGCTAGTAAAAACTAGAGTCAGAATTCAATCTAATCTTAACTACTCATAATATGGGGCCACATATGACTTGTAGCCACATGCGCATGCTGTACATAAATCTGAATTGCATAGATACATGCAACGTTGATCATATCTTAGCCCTTGGGAGGTCTTTAACACTAAACTATCTTCTTCCTCACTCCCTTCTTCCAATTTTGCAATTGAGGCCATTTCCTCAATTAAGGATACCTATTTTATGTGAAAAAAAATTTCTGGGTCCAAATAAGAAAGGGGATGAAATCATCGCTATCTTATTTAATCATCAAAATTAAAAATATTTTTAATATCCCAAATTAAATCCCTAATTAACACCTTACTCTGCCTAACTCTTTATAACAGCAGTGGCTAAGCTACATACAACCCCCAGGCCAAACCCACCTCACTGCCTGTTTTTGCACAGCAGGAAAGCTAAGAAAGGTTTTTAAGTCTTTTTTTTTTTTTTTTTTTTTTTATAGAGGCATGCTTTATTTATTTGTTTGCTGGTTTGTTTGTTTGTTTTGTTTACACATGCACTGGGTACAGTCAGAAGCGCGGGAGGGTGAGAGAATTCACCAGAGTCAGAGCGGGGAGCAGAGCAGCAGAAGGACCGAAGCACCTGCTGAGGGGAGCAGCGGGCGGCAGGAAGAGGTCTGCGCGCCATGTGGGCCCTCCTCTGGTGCCGGGGAGCAGCCGGGGATCGAACCGGCGCCGCAGAGGCCGCGGGCAGCTTCGCAACCCAGCGCTCAACCGCTGCGCCACCGGGGAGGCCCGGTTTTTAAGTCTTTAAAATGACTGAAAAAGTCAAAAGAATAGTATTTCATTACACATAAAAAATTATTTGAAACTCGTATTTCAGTGTTCAGAAATAATTTAATTGGGAAATAGCCACACTCATTTATTTACATATTGTCTATGGCTGCTGCAACAGCAGAGCTGAGTAGGTACAACAGAGACTCCATGATCTTCATAGCCTGAATTATTTACTGTCTGGTACATTACAGAAAGTTTGCCAATCCCTGCTCTAAAACTTTCAAAGGAACTTCTATTTAACTTAATTACTCCTAAAACAACCCTGAGAATTGGCAGCAACCTGAATCCTGAAAACTAGGGAGGCTCAGAAGTTTATAGTGTCTAGCCCAAGTCAAAGAGCTAGTAAGTGAAGGAGAGAATTCTAGAGCCCCAGTTTTCTAGCTCCAAATCCAATATACTTTCTACCACTTTCCTACCATTTTCTAAGAACTCAAGTCCTCCTGATTAATCAATGACTTTACACATTTAGTGTTAAAATTTACCAAATGGGTAGATAGGTAACAGATTTAAATTGGTGGGAAAACTTTTCTCAGTCAAGAAACTTTATCCCCGGGCCTCCCTGGTGGTGCAAGGGGTTAAGAAGCAACCTATGAGGCTACCCGCAGCCACTGCAACACAAGTTCAATCCCCTGCCAAGGAGCAACCCACATGGTACAGCAGACCTCGCCTGACTTGCCCACTGCTCCCCTCAGCAGTGTATTTAAGTGGATCTGCCTGTTCTGTTCCCCACTCTGTCTCTGGTGAATCTTCTCACTGCCCTTCCCCCGCCCCCGCACCTCTGGCCTGTACCCCAGTTCATGTATGCATAAATAAATAAGTCTTTTAAAAAAAAGAAACTTTACCTCCAAAAATATATTAATATTAATATGATACATTGTATTTCACATGTAATTGTATAATTTACAAAGTATATTTTCTCATTTAGTTAGCAAAGAAACTTTGGGAAATAGATAGAGCTTATGTTTTGTTTAATAACAAGGAAATATGCACTTAGAGATTTGCATAAGAATATACTGAAGCAATACCCAACCCCAGGTAACTCCTAATCCGTGATTCTTTCACTTAGGAACACTGTCTATTCTCATAAGGAAAGTACCTGTTTTTTCTTTCCTTAGAAACAAAAAGTATAACTCTTCCTTGTTAAATAGTAAGGAGACTAAATTGTTATTTTAGATGGGATAAACTAACAATTTAACAAAAACAACAGAAGGGATACTATCAATAAGAATTATTGGCATCACAAATGGCCAACAGGCATATGAAAAAATGTTCAACATCACTTGTAATCAGGGAAATGCAAATCAAAACTACCATGAGATACCATCTTACACCAGTGGAGAATGGCACATATTAAAAAAAAACTAGCACAACAAATGTTGGCGAGGGTGTGGAGAAAAAGGAACTCTTTTGCACTGTTGGTGGGAGTGCAAACTGGTCCAACCACTATGGAGAGCTGTGTGGAGATTTCTGGACCTACTAAACATAGAGCTTCCATATGATCCAGCAATTCCACTCCTAGGTATTTACCCAAAGGACACAGAAACATCAATTCCAAAGAGCACCTGCACACCTATGTTTATAGCAGCACTGTTTACAATAGCTAAGCTTTGGAAACAGCCCAAATGCCCAAAAATAGATGACTGGATCAAGAAGATGTGGTACATATTATACCATGCAATATTACTCAGCATTCAAAAAGGATAAACACATGCAATTTGCAGCACATGGATGGCGCTGGAAGGATCATGCTCAGCAATATAGCCAGAAAGAAAAAGAAAAATACCGGATGATCTCAACTCATAGCAGGAATCTAGAAAACTTAAATAAGGGACCAGGAAAATGAATAACTATAAGAAAGTGAAAATCAAAATCAAACAACTATGAACCAGAGACACTCTATGGGAGGTGGGAGGTGGGGAGGGGAGGGCTTGGGGTCAAAATAGGGGGGTTGCAATGTATGGGGAATATAAAAAAAAAATTTATTATAAAAATGCTTTTTTCCTAGTTTTAAAGCAAAGATTTTACCTTACACAAGGCAATTTGAAAACAAAAATAATATTCTGTAATAAAAAGCATATTACTTTAGGATACAAATTGTTAGCTTGCCATATTAAAGTATCCTGATCACGAAGTCTCACTGACTATATAAAGAGCTTTAGAATAGCCCCACATTTCAAATACAAGTCATAACCTTCAAGACTGTACTTAGAAACATTCCCCCCCACAATGCCCAAAAAGTGATTATATATCACAAAAAAATCACTTCATTTA